TACTCCCAGTTTGACTGGCAAATAGATGTACAGACACACACACACACACACACACACACACACACACAGAGCACAGCACAGTTTTTCTGCATATGGCTGCTTCCTGTTATACAGATGGCTGTCTGTGCAGCAATTGGCCATTCTGCTTATTTTTGGAACAAGAGGAGGAAGTGTTTACAGTTGCCCAGTAACTGTTGCACATCTTTATAATCAGAGTTCTAGAAATCCCCATCAGTCAGTTTATGACACTGAAAACAATGGGTATTGTAAAACATGTACATGCATGAATGTCCCAAACAACAGCTGGAGCGTGCGGTTTGGAGAGCGGCAGGGTGTAAGGAAAATGAGAATTGGCTATAATAACAAACTTAATAACAGAATCCTTTCTTCTCCTGCAGGAGGTGGAGGAAAGCGCAAAGGTAAAAGCAAAAAATGGAAGGAAATCCTGAAGTTTCCTCATATTAGCCAGTGTGAAGATCTTCGAAGAACAATAGGTACAAACTTGCTTTTGTTTTTCAAACATTTGGGTTGAGAGCCTTTCTTATAACCGAGTAAAACAGCTTTGCTTCTTAACATGGGAAACTTTACTAAATCGGGTGAAATGTGTAGCCTTCAAATATTAAACTTTTGAATATAATTACTGTAAATAATAATCCAAAAATACTAGGTGATGCATTGTTAGGCATATGCAAATCTCCTGCTTCTCGCTTGGAGGATTAACTTCCAGAAAACTACTGCATTATTCCCAGATTGAACGGATTATCATGTTCTGGGAGAGTTCCTGAAATACTAATCGATTTTGTACAAACCTACTATTTGTATTGTCGTATTTTTATTTATATGCTACTCTTTCAAAGAAATCTGTGCATTAAAGACAATAGTGCACGGCCTGGACTAATATGGTTTGCCATTTACATAGAAATTGTTGAGTGAGCACTTATGTTGGGGTGTGTAAATTGCTACAAGAGAGAGGTGTACATTGCAGAAAAGCTTTTTCTGGAATTTTAGATGAAACAGAACAGTCTGTAGCTGAACTGGATGTTTTCTCAGCAGTTGGGTTTCTACTTCCATTTACACATATATCACTGAAATTCTGGACTGTGGAATAATCTATCCCTCTACATGGCTCTTTGGGAATAGATGTCACAGTGTTTGAGGCGTTTGAACAGCAGGATCTCTGGCAACATCAAACTGCTTTTATCGACTTTTTAAAAGTGGGCTTGTGCTTTTTGGCATATCTTGGAGAAACTCCCATCCCCAATGAACGGAGGGAAATGGTACTCCGGGTGTCCACTGTTAACCTCTACACCCATTGTAGGAGTCAGATGCCCTGCAATTTTTGTAACCCAGGCTGTAATAGAATTCTGTTGAATATGGAAGAAGAAAAATGTTTCTCAAATATGGCAGACAAGAACCAGATGGACATTCCAGCCTTATCTCCTAAGTGAGTCATTATTCCAACCTTTAGGAATTTTTGAAAAAGAGGATCAAATCACTCCAAGAGACTCTGCCTTAATGTTGTCTTTGATACATGGGAAATAGAGTCCAGTATTCTGTAACTCCTTTTTCCTTACATTAAATCTTTTTACTGAGACTTATGTATGAATCGCATGCATAATAATAGCAATAGCTATAGCACTAAGACTTACATACCGCTTCACAGTGATTTACAGCCCTCTAAGCAGTTTACAGAGTCAGCATATCGCCTCCAACAATCTGGGTTCTCATTTTACCAATCTCGGAAGGATGGAAGGCTGAGTCAATCTTGAGCCAGTGAGAATCGAACCCCTGGCAGCAGGGCCGGATTTTCCTATAGGCTAACTAGGCTTCAGCCTAGGGCCTCAAGATCAAGAGGGGCCTACATTCAAATTGTTAACAAAATTAAAATTACACTAGTCTAAAAACAGTGAACTCTGAAACACTGAACCGAAAATAAGGAGAAATTCTAC